TGCATATAGTTCTAATCATTCTAAATTTTTACTCCTCAACCCCTATAATATCAAAAATAATAGAGGGAGGTTTTAGTATTACATTTTACAATCAACATTCACAATTATGATCAAATCAACATCTTTATATTTGCACTAGTATTTTGACCCTATCAATACTTTAACATCTTAGTTATAACATTCTGAGGCCTAAAATACATCTTAAATTCATTAACAATAATATAGTGCAAATGCAAACAAAATGCATCTTAATTGGCAATATTCAATGTATTACATAAAATAAATAAGATGAGGAGATTTTACACTAGGAATTCCATGAAATCCTCAACCTTTAGAGTCTTTCCCTTTTCTACAACAAAGCTAAAGCTTGTAAAATATTGAAAGAGAGGGGTGAGTCTAGCCACTCAGCAACCAAAGTATACCTACCCTGTGTAGTTCCATATCAATTAATTTAAAAATAAAGACAAAAAATTGAATACTCAAAATTATGTGTTTAAACATATCGTAAGTTAAACTTTCACTTATTAAGTTCATTTTCATATTTCACAGTTCCAATCACTAGGTACATTGACATAGTACTTACAAACAAGTAACAATGACCTAATTCACAACTCGATGAATATCACCACATTCTGCACAACCATGTGGCAATTATATATTCATTATCACGACTTGCTACAAAATTAACAACCATGTGATATGTTGGATATACACATATGCATGATTGATTCCTTTTTATAATTCCCTTATTTCCTTCGACTGAAACCATGGGCTATAATATTAATTAAGGCTCCATCCATATGATTGAAATACCCAAGCTAATCAATTGTGAGGTGTGACTTAGCCAAAGATTACAATACTTAGTCTTGAACCACGGCTTCCCCTATTCTTTAATCTCTAGAGTGTCATATATCCTAAGCTAATCTCCTTAAAAAATAGGTAGAGATAGCTAGATTCTAGTCTCTTGACAAATTATGAGACAATTCATTGACAAATAGTGAAACAAGGCTTAGCCTTTATGCGTTAGAAGGTAGCTATAAATACTATATGTATTTTATCTAGTCCTCTCCCTAAGTGAACTTTCGCCAAATGATCATACAATATATGATGCTCACTCATTTCACAATTTTATTTACTCAATAACAACATATTGGATCTCATAGTATTACGTTACCCAAGTAAGCATCATCATTATTTTCACAAATTCTCTTCACTTCAATTATCAATTTCATAACACATCTCTAATTCTCATTAGCCACACATGTAAAATTCATATGCTATTGCATCATACTATTAACACATCGCATAACATACATGTATCATTTTAACACATTTATAGTTTGAAAATCTCTTTGAATTCAACTCCATATTTCAAGTCAGACAAGCTTAATATGCTATCCCATAGTTCATGACATGTTTTCACATTCACAATCACAATTATACATGCAAATAAACCTATTTCAGATTATAACACAACTAACAAACAACTACCCAAGATAGGTTTCCTTTTAGTTACCTCAAACTTTTAAGAGGTCAATGGTTTACCCCTCAATATATGATGCTAAGCTGGCTTTCTAAGCTAAATATAGTGCCTGAATGATTAATCTACAATTAATCAAGTTCAAACTCAATTACCATTTCTGAAAACACATTTCTAACTCTCACATTTTCATTTCTAAATACTCAATACCTTTATTTCTCACATTTAAGCTTATTAATTAGGTTTAATAGCTTCTATCACTCCCAACTAATAATTATCAAACTCATATATGATCATTAATGTCTGACAACCCTCATAAATCTAATTTATTACCCATTTTTAGATATTAATGACTCCCAACCACTATTAAAGTCTAAATCCATAGTTTCTAGGTTTAAATACTCAATTCAAACCCCATTAATTCTATTTGAGTTAATGGGTTCCAACCCATAACCTAGATGGACCAAAAATAGCCTCTTACTATCAAAACCTAACTAAAAACTTCAAGAAAATAAGCGGGGAAGGAAGTAGAAGAGGTTAGGAGGCTTGCTTTTGAGGTTTGGTAGCTTCAAAATGCCTCTAACATTCTTGAAATTGAAGCCCTATTAAAGTTCTAAGTCTCTTCCTCCTTCTCCATTTTCTCTTTTCTTCCCTCTATTTTTCACATCAACTTCATGTCTTAATTCTATATAAAACATATCATGCGTTGCGGCACCTGTCCCCATACATCATAGTATGTGGTACAGAGAAGGCTATTTTGTGTCTTCTGGCCTAGTGCAGCACGGCATGTTGCACAGAGGCTTTTCTTATTTTTTTTCTCTACTTTTAAAGACCAAATAGCCTGACTTCAGTCTAAATTCAATCCTAAGGCTGAAATCACAATACAAAACATCTGTTAGCTCTCTGTAACCACACATTGCATAAATCCTACTTAATTTTCCTTAATTACTTAGATAATTTAGGGTTAAATTTTCTCAGATGTTACAAAACCATATAGCACAACTAATATCATCATCATCTTGCTTATATTCATCAATTTTTATCAGCTTAGAGGGTTTAAAATATTACTTCCATAATTTAAAATCAAAACAACATGTATACATTTAGATACACACACATGAAGGTGTATTTTTAATTTTACAAACACCTAATATAATTTAACAAGCAATAATGTGCAAGAATCCTCTGGTTACTTTAAACCTTTAAAGGCTCAAAGGTTAATCCCCAAGAATTGACTTGCTTTTAAACTGAACTCAAGCTCCTCAGTGTTTCGCAAGGTTAGTCTACAATTTATAACAATCACCAATCACTAATAATAAAAACAACAACACTTTCAACTTCTAAATTCAACATTTAACAACCCAAATTTTCAAATTCAACCTAAATCTCTCATCAAATGAGTTTATTACCTCCTATTAATTTCATTTAGTTCTTATTAACTTAAATATCAACAATTATAATACCCAACAATCCAAATTTTTTCTCAAAGTGACTAGGATTTGTCCAAAACCCTAGCCCAAAACTTATAACCTTGTAAAATCCTTTAAACTAGGTTTAAATAAGTAAAATAACTCTTATTAAACCTATTTAGACTAACGGTTTAGACTCATTGATTTAAGGTTCAAATTTATCATGCTTTAACCAAAAATCTCAATTTTAAAAAGTGTAAAGGGAAGGAAAAGGGAAGAGAAAGACAAACTTAAGTAGAATCAAGCTCAAAACCCCCTCCTAGTGCTTCAAAATTGTTGTCTTTATAGAGCTTTCCCCTCTCCTATTGCCCTCTCTTTTCTTTGTTTTCTTTTAGGTCTGTCTTTCTCATTCACAAATTTGACTTAAAATTTTGCTCGTTTGTTACGACGAATTATGCCTCTCACCACGGTTAATGACACAACTTGGCCAACCCGAATTTAATTCCCCTATTTAGGCCCAATTGGCCTAAAAACACCATAAGGTTTGATCCATGGACTGTAAATAAATTTAATATGTTCATTAGCCATTCCAAACCATCTTTAAACTATTTAATACTAAATTTTACTTAATTAATCTTACTTAATCTTCATAAACCAAGGATTAAAAAATCCAACATGTTACAACTCTCTTGTTCTTTAAGAATTTTATCCCCAAGATTTAAACAACTATAAGTCACATACATTATTGAAATAAGTGAAGGTACTATTGCTTTATCTTCTCTTCCATCTTCCAAATAGTGTCACTTGGAGTAATCCCTTTCCAAATAACTTTTATCAAGTGGATCATCTTGTTTCTCAACTATTTCTCCTTCACATTCACAATCCTCTCGAGTTTGGTGTGGTAAGTCAAATTCTCCAACAATTTCACATTCTCGAGCTTAATTATATGGGACATTAGGTGCTCTTGAGGGTATAGTTTAAGGACAAAAGTGGACTTTAACTCTTTAACTAACTGCAGGTGTTTTTCCTAACAATGATAATTTATAATCATCTAGTAACTTGTCAAAAAGGTTGGTCAAAATAGTATTTTTGGTCTTTTACATGACAAGAAATAACATTTATCTTGTGGTATTAATTTATAATTTAGGATATTTAATCATTATTAATTTTCTTATGATGTACTTATTTATAAATTTTTGAGTCTTTTTTTCAATTTTTTTAGTCAACTAATTGCTAAAGTTAATACTTATTAATAGTAGGAGCAACATTATTTGCAATTGTTAAAGGGAAAAATTTAACCAGAAAAAAATTTCAGGATACTTAGTTAAAGAGAAAAATGCTCTTTAAAAAAAAAAGTCATTCAAAAGTCACTCGGAGGGTTGTTCCTGTTATGGTAACGATATCTGTAATAAGATTTTTTTAGGAAAAATTTATATACTTAAATCTTATATAGATTATTTTTCTAGAGTATATTTCAATTAAATTAAGACATGTATATCTTTTATAAATTATTTGAGGAAAAATAAAATTTTAAATTTCTACACTTTGCTCACATTTTGCTATAAATTCTTGTACTTTTTTTTAGTGATGGCAAAAAAATAAAAAAAAGGGAATACCTATATAGTTACTCTTATATACTTAATATATTTTTATCCAATTAAATTAAATTATGTGAATTTTAATATGTTAATAATATTAATAAAAAGAATTCGTTGTAGATTAAATAATAAGAAAATATAGCTTTAGTCTCTTTACTTTGCTTGTATTTTGTTATAAGTCTCTATACTTTTTTTTTGTATTTTAAGTTTTTATACTTTTATTTTTCGGTGTTTTATATCCATTCAAGTTTCCTATACTTTATTTATTTAAGGATTTAAAATATTAAAAAATAAAAATATAGACACTCAAAATATTAAAAATATAAAATTTTATAATAAAATATGAATAAAATATAAGGATTAAAAAATATGTTTTTAACATTTAGATCAGATAGTTATAACAAGTTTTTGGCCTAAAAATAAAGATAAGGAAACTAAAAAGGAAGGTTGATGTTTGACAGTTTCGTTTTAGCAGGAGTTAGGGAGAAAGTTAGATCTGTTTGACCAAAGGCAGGGAGGCAAAGGACAGATCACAGAACAAACAAATCAAGGATGATAGATTAGGATTTAGGGCTCATTACATTCCACTGTTTGGTGCTGTAGGAAAAAACAAAATGGAAGGAGGAGGTGGCGCTCAGCCTGGTGACACAGTCATGTCGGAGGCAACGCAGCCTGATCCCCGGCAACAGCAGCAGCCAACGGCTGTGGGGATTGAGAATATCCCTGCTACTCTTAGTCATGGTGGCAGGTTCATCCAATACAATATCTTCGGCAATATATTCGAAGTCACAGCTAAATACAAGCCCCCCATCATGCCCATCGGTAAAGGCGCTTACGGTATCGTCTGGTACTCTCCCACCCCTTCTCTATCTTCATTTCCTTTTCTCTTCTTTCCCCACTCCTTTGATTGATAATTTGATTATAGTTCGGCTCTCAATTCCGAGACCAACGAGCATGTAGCCATCAAGAAAATTGCCAATGCATTTGACAACAAAATTGATGCCAAGAGGACCCTCCGCGAAATCAAGCTGCTCCGACACATGGATCATGAAAACGTCAGTGAGTAATAATTGTTTTTGTTTCTTAAAATCCTCCTCTTCTTGCGGTTATGTCGCATTTATTCTTCATTGACATCTCTTCTGGATGAGTAGTTTGAATGATGTTAAAATGATTGTCGATTTGCTCCCGTAGATCCAGATATATCATTTGTCAATGCTTGACCGCTTCAATCAGCCTTTTCTCCTTCAAATATGTTTAACCTTAGCTAAAAAAGCACTTTTGTGTCATGTTGATTGACATATAATTCTGTATTGATGGTGACAATGATGGCCCGGGTATTTGTCACTATCTCCGGATTTATGGAAAAAAATATATATATATGTGGGAAACGTGGATCTTTTGAAACATTTTAGTAACCAACTAGATGTGGGTTCATGCATTTTACACACGGAGGCTTAGGAACGAGTCAGATTATTTACAGTTTATGAGTAGTGCAAGGATTTTTAGCATTAATCGTGTTACAATAACCCTTTCTTTTGGTCGTTTTGAATCTATCATCTTTCCTCTCTGGATAATGTCCCCGGTCAACATTTTTGCACAATAAAGGAGAATATGTGTTCTGGGAATTTTCACTCTTTGGAGGATCTTACTTGTAGAGATTTATTTTATGTTAAATGAATTAGAAACTCTTTTTTCTCTTGATACTAATAGAGCTTCCTGGACCAAGGATAGGAGAGTTTGGAATTTATATGTTTCTGGTGTGTATTGTCTGAAGCCTTCAGATGCTTCATGGGATAAAAATAACTCTTTCATGGCCTCTCCTTGGTGGTTGGGTTACATCTTTTCTTAGGGAGTTACTTTCTAAGATATGCTGAAGGATTGGGCTGCTTCACCTTCACTACATGATTTCTTTCCTTCTTGATTAAATTTCTTCTTTAATTAAACAGAACTTTCATTTCCTTATTTTATCTCCTATTAGGTAATCTAAACTCTAAAGTTCCTGCTAAATTCAGATTTTTATCTGGACAGCAGTACTCATTATTCCCTAGAATCGACTCAAATCATAATAAAAAAATATGGAGACCTAAGAATGCTTCATCTCCTAATATTTTTATGATGTACATGTTATACAGAAGCTGGAGCTTATTTATTTCTAAATTGCCAAGTGTTTTCTCTCTTGTGGAATAAGTTGTTCAGGTCTTTCTTATATGGTTCAAAAGTTTGGCTGGAAAATCTGTCTTTTTATTAACAAAATATTGAAATGAAAATCAATGATGAACATGTTATCTTTTGAATCTTGATGCATTGTTTGGCATCTTTGGTGAGCACTCACACACACATTATTGATTTCAGAGTTGACTTTTGGTTCTTGCGAATACCAACATATAAATCTAACGCATTTCATTTACTGGTGATCCGGTAGCTTCCTGTTTAGTTGTCGTTTTGGTCAAATACTGTTATAGTCATGCATTTGGAACGTTTCTACTTAACTATTGTATTTGTTTTGCAGGTTGTTGCAATCAGGGATATAATACCACCACCACAGAGGGAAGCCTTTAATGATGTTTACATTGCATATGAGCTAATGGACACTGACCTTCACCAAATTATTCGGTCAAATCAAGCATTATCAGAGGAGCATTGTCAGGTGCATATATGGATTTGTTGTCTTTTGAAACTGTGCCTGGTTGCCCATATTTCTATTATTGTCTCACTCCATTTTCATGTTATCATATGCTAATAGAACACACTATATTTGTACAATCTATATAACCAATCCCATCTCGTGGGATAAGACTTGTTGTTATATGCTCTATATTGGGTGTAAAGTCTCCCTTGACAATGGCAAGGGTAGTAATTACTCTACAATTGACACTTAACCGGAAATATAGATTCTGATTGTGTAGGAGAATTTTTGCTGTTCATTTGTTCCTTTCCTTCCCTTCATCCTCTCTTAAGTCCCATTACCAGCTTGCAATACTAGTTTTCTCACATGCCATTGATGCTCTATTAAGATTTGTTGGAAAATGTTAGAAATCCTTGTAAGTAATGTCATTATTTTTAGAATTTAGGCACCTGGTTTCAAAATATTTTTTCTCCCAGAGTTGCCTTCCTTATTTATAAATACCCATGTACTTAGCACCATTCAATGTATGAGAAAACTGCAGACTTTTTTCTCAAGATCCTTGGCATTGGAGGGCTTTCAAAGTTTCAGGGTAAGAATTAGAAGAAGATTTGAACTCAGCTTTGGACTCTGAAGCAACCAAATCAATTCTTCACATTTTGGCACAAGTTATATACTTGCAAGGAAACAATCATGTCATAAAAGTCATTCGGGATTTGGGAGGTTATTTTAGAACTACATGTCTGATGCTCAACAAGTAAAATTTGTCTTTTGATGCAGAATAATGATTGTCTCTATTAGAGCTTAGATGAAAATTCCTATCAATTAGCTTGGCTTTTTACTGACATAGTCAGAGTTATTTGTAGACATAAAATTTGAGTTTCATTGGCTCTACATCTGTTTCTCAGTTAAGTTGGATGCACATTTCAATAAGTGGGAGAATATGTTTTACGGCAGCAATGATTTCAATTTGTTTATCAGTCATGATAGACTTTTTTTTTTTGCTCCAGTTAATTTTGATTCTCCTTTGTGGTCATTATTCACTTTTCCTTTGTAGAATTTATTAACTGATATCCTTGGTACCGGTATAAACTTCTTGTATTTTTGGAGCAGTATTTCCTGTATCAAATCCTACGTGGGCTGAAGTACATTCATTCGGCAAATGTTCTGCATAGGGACCTAAAGCCTAGCAATCTTCTCCTGAATGCCAACTGTGACTTAAAAATTTGTGATTTTGGACTGGCTCGTGTTACCTCTGAAACTGACTTTATGACTGAATATGTTGTTACAAGATGGTATCGTGCACCAGAGCTTTTGTTAAACTCTTCTGATTACACTGCAGCTATTGATGTATGGTCTGTTGGGTGTATATTCATGGAACTGATGGATCGAAAGCCATTGTTTCCTGGCCGAGATCATGTGCATCAGTTACGTCTACTTATGGAGGTAACTCATTTAGCAGTCTCTGGCTATTTTTTACAAAGTTTGAAGAAGTTCAACAATTTCTGACATCCTCCCTCCATACAACGATATAAGGCATCTTTTAGAATCCTACTTAGTTCAAATACAGGCATTAGGTAGTTTGTATAATTTTTTTTCACCTATACCCTTACTTCATTTAATACTCTTTTTGAAAAAATGATGCATTGAAATTTCAGTTGTTATTATTAAGTTATTTATATAGGATATTTAATGAGGGTATAATTGGAAATATATAAAATTTTTAAGAGATTAGGTTTTCACTTAACTTTTTTTGAGAATTGTGTAGTAGTTACCAGTACCCTCTATCATGTTTTAGAGGAAGTATTTGATTTTATGGTTGGAATGACTAGCCTGATTGGTGTGGAACCACCACATTACTAAGGTCCATTGCAATTCTATCGCAGTGTCATTCTGGATGATATTCATGCTTTGATTAGATATTTTTGTTCAATCTTCATTACAATCAAACCCTTCAGCCAAATGTTTAGCGTTCATGCAAAAATCAGGATTTTCTTTTCTTTTTTTTTTTAATAATTTCTAATAAAGTATTCTACCTTATGATCTATAAAGTTTTCCTTTTGAAACAGTTTCTAATGAAATCAATGTATCAGTATAACTGACCTACACCTTATCTTGCAGCTGATTGGCACCCCATCAGAAGCTGATTTGGGCTTTCTGAATGAAAATGCTAAGAGATACATTAGGCAACTACCACTTTACCATCGCCAGTCTTTCCAAGAAAAGTTTCCACATGTCCATCCTGCAGCTATTGATCTTGTTGAAAAAATGTTAACATTTGATCCTAGACAAAGGATTACTGGTGAGTTTCATTGCTTGCAGTCTGGCTACGGTAATTAGAGATGTACTACTTGTTTCTGTTCCTCTGACAACGCCATTAGTGTTTTTTTTTTTAATGCCTTTTTTTGGTGATTTGATGAAAGCTGCATAGCATTCTTGGAAATGAGAATGTGTAATTAATGTGGTACAATGTTCACTATAAAATCGAAAAAAAAGATTGAATTCAAAGAAGAAATTAGAATATAAGGCTGTGGTGCAGCACATTAAATATTGTTAACAAGTGGTGCAGCACTGATCTTTGCCTATCACTAACAACTACTTGGATGTACAAAAATATCTTTTTAAGATATCAATGGGTACTCACTTAATTGGGAGGGGGAACCCTCATCTAAAAAGCTAGATATTAAGATGGGAGAACCAAGCCCATTTAAATACTTTGTAGAGCTTCTTATACTACTCAATGAAGGACTTGGGCATCCCATACTACCATAATTTTCATCAATTGGCCCCTCTTGGAAAGTGGATGTCCTAATGGGTACTTTCTACTACACTTCACTCAACTTCTTAGCCGATAAGATCCCTTAGTAGACAAGTCCTATTTGAAATTGTTGTCCACTAGCTCTAATACCAATTAATAGATACTCAAGTCAGATGAGAAACTTTACCTTGAAAGCTAACTATTGAGATGAGAGAACCAACCTCATTAGATACCTTATAGAGCATCCCATGCCGTGCAATATAACACTTAGGCATCTTATGTTACTTTAGTCTCCATCATATAGATCCTATGGATACTCATAAAGTTTACTCACTTAAATTTGGTAATGGGGAGTGATACATGTCTCAAGTAGAGTAGATACACTTGTAATCAACTATGTCTAAAATAACTACCTAAGACTGTGTTATAGTTCAAGGATTTTATAAACATATCAATTTACAACTATGATTCATTGAATCACTTTCTGTTTAGAGTAATTATAGTATAAAAGCTACTTTTTGGCCACATGGCATCCAAAATGCGATTTTAGGACAAGTATGGAGAAGTTGAATAACATCTCGACAACACCACCATCATCATTAAACAAACCCGGCAAGAATGAAACAAACACTTCGAAGATGGGGAATGTATGTGTAGACAATAATGAGATTGAAGGCATTCATGATTAATGTAGCAACAAAGCTAAGCCACCTCACGTTGAATGGGAACAAGGATTTCCATTAGGGCAACATTGAATAATAATTGTGATCTTGCTGAGTAACTGAGCATTAGCAGCCAACACCACCATACTCATTGCCCACACAACGTACTTGGGTTGAATTCCCAAAATTCAATGAACTGGAAAGGGAGATATTTGTTCCTTGGGGATTATTGATGCCACTTGATTTAGGATGCCCAATGATAAGATCAAGTGATATATCTTCCCAAATTTGTTTAGGTGTAGGCACTAGCTAAAGCAACCCTATTAGTGCAAAAGTGAGATATTTGTTCCTCTGACAAGTGATGTAGTTCTATACTCCCAAGGCTTAATCTTTTAAGGGTTTTAAGTTATCCACCATGACCCCCCAGCAAAGATGTGTGAACTTCAACTAGAAGTTTGCAGCGTAGATCTTCGATGGCTGGAATAACAAGGCATTTTTTATAGAATAGCCTATTGTTGGGGAGAGAATAATGTGGCACTGCCTTAGACTTGCTACAGTTGCTTGATAATGAGCTTTATATGTCTTGTAACTTGTTGAAATCAGTGCTTATAAGCATGGCCAAATGGCATTGTCAATCCAACCAACATGACCAAAAATTCATAATTGGCACTAGTGAGTATGAAATGCTGGCTTGTGTATGTCTTTTGTAAGCACTCAAATTTGGTGATATCCCTAGCCAAGGTCAAATCTTGGAGAAATTCACAGCACCATACAGCTTATGAATTAACCTATCAATGTTTGATATCAGAAATTTATCTGATAGTCTGATACTGTAAATCTGTTATCTAATCGAGGCCTCTGTAGATGATACACAACCAGCAAGTGTTTTCCTTCACTAGCAAGACAAGACTAGCAAATGGGCTTGGACAATGTCGTATGAAACCTTTTGAAGTAGAGCAGCAACATAAGATTCTATTTCGTCTTTTCAAGCATGTGCATACCTGTACGGCCGAATGTTGAGTGGAGATGAGTTGGGAAGAAGAGGTGTTGCATGTGAATGGTCATGTAAAGGATGCAAGATATCTAGTTCAGCAAAAACAAAATAGCCTGAGTATTTCTTCTGTGATCCTCTGGGCAAAACCTAGCATGTCCTCAGGATGATCCTACTTAGTCAAGCACTGAAGACTTGCTTCCATTTTCTTACTCAACTTGACTCCCTGTAATTTGTAACTTCTCCCATTTACCCAGTGAATCTTGAACTATCCCAATTAGCTTATGCTGTATTAAGCAAAGTTGTCCCCTTGATACCTAACACTGCTTCTACAACCCCGGTAAAAAAATCTTAGAAGTCTTTGGTTATGGAGAGAGCCTAGACCTGAACGGTACAATGGATTACATTTTTGTTGCTAATTTGTTCGTTGCAAGGTGGGTTGGAAAGTAAACTCAGCTCTATCACCAAGTGATCAGCAATGAAGTTATGGTTGGAATGAATATCCACCAAGATAAGTAGCTGACAATTGAGCAATGTGCCATATAGCTTCATGGCAGTGTTTAAAGTATTTCCAAGAATATTTTAGACGGAAATCTTGGCTTGGGATACCTTAGTTTTAGACTTTAGTTCCATAATAGGTGGTTCTATGTGGAGAGTATCCTCTTGGTATTCTCCATAATTGTAAGAATGTTCACTGCACTTGAAACGTAACCTTTAATCTTTGCAAGCCTGTTTCTCTACATCATGAGCTTGACTGGGTCTTCAGTGTTGATCTAAGCTATCTTGAGTTTGACAAACTCTAGGTCATTGAAGTTTCAACCTCACGTGCATTTTCAGTGGCAGATTTATCAGTTCAACTTGGGCCCAAAACAGTGTTTGGCTCCCTTTGGCAAGTTGAGCTTCGTTATGCTAAACTAGCTGGTTTGTAGATTTTGCTAGGCTTTTGTATACGAAAGTCAGCCTTCAACTCATCCTTCAAAGTTCAAACCATAAAGAAAAAATGCCAAGAAGACAGTGCTTTGGCCAATGTTAAACCTGTGCATATCTCTTGGCAAACGTTTGTCTGTACCCTTACTAAGTAACTTTTTGCCTTAAACACGTAAATCCTCGTTACAATTTTGAAACTAGCAGGCCTATAGTGTTCTTGAAGTACCTTCACCTATTCAATTAGCATTAACCTAAGCAAATAGGTCAAGGGTAGCATTTCCTTCCAAGTACATGGCCATCCTCAATCTCGACTTTAAGAATTTCAGGTGTTTAGTAGTACCTAAAGTACTTTTCTTCCTTCAAAATCCATCCACAGGGATCTCCGCCTTCACATTTGGGAAGATCCATGTTCATATGGTCTCATTTTGATAGAGTTTTAGGGCCCGTTAGACTATCTGGTTTATCATCCTCTTGAGAACCATGTATGACATCTCTACCTTTGTCCAGCCTAGAATGAGAAGAGCCTTAAGGTCAGCAAACTCTGTCAAAGAGTTAAGTTTGGCTGCAAGTGGTTAATTTGTTTGGAGAAGGTTTTTTGTAGATGGTGATGGATTCTGGGAGGATGGTGGGTTTATAGCAGTGTTATCAGAACCGAACCGGACTGGCCGGTCTAACCGGTTCAAACGGGAGCCGGTCCCAAGTCCGGTCCGGTCATCACAAAAAACCACAAATTTCAAGAACTGGTCAAGAACCAGCATAACCAGCCACAAACCGGTAAAACCGGCCAAAACCAGGCTAGAACCGGTTGAACCGGCTATATTATTTTTTAATTTTTTATTTTTAATTCATATTTTAAAATTATAATTTATACATATTTATACCTAATAAGCATTATGAAATAAAAAAGTGTATGAAATATATGTAGATTATGTATATGTGTATATATTTTAAAGTTATAAATTATGAATTATGAAACACTTGTACATGTTTTGGATGAAAATAATGTAATATTGATGGATGCTATATTTTTTATTGTATATTATTTTGTTTGAAATTTAAACATTCATTTTTGTTACTATATATGATTATTTCTTTCTATTTTAAATATATAATATTTAAAATATATCAATTTATTTATGACTGGTTGGACCACGGTTCAAATCACGGTCCGACCATTGAACCGTGAACCAGTACCTTGATCGGTTCAAGGGCCGTTCCGGTTTTCATAACATTGTTTTATAGGTTCTGACAGTGCAGTGGAGGAACTTGCGGTTGCTATGTCTGGATCAGGGCTTTGATACCAAAATTCATTGGGGACCAAACGTGGGAACCAGGGTTCTTTAGTTAGGAACTGTTAGTGATAGAGCTTAAGGTGAGGGTAGAAATCTTTTTAAGAGTAATTAGAGTCCGAATCTGGAACTCGCCAAACTCATAAAGCCACTGAGTATCACTGCAAGTACAAAACAAACTTTCAAGTTAGACACTGAATTACATTATACAACCAGCGAACTGCAAGAGACGCATAACTATCTTATAGATAACATTTGCTATATAACTTCCTCAGATGTGACGTAATGTGACAAAGACGTGCAAGAACTGACGCAAACTGCAATACAATTACCAGAACATGATTAAAGAAAACAGAGTTTAACAACTTCCTTCTACCCTGCTCTTTGTCCAGCCAGTAGCTACCCTGGCACACAAGTACCTCATTTCAATATGTTTTCTAGGGCCGATGTTCTCTTGCTTTATGTGTAAGTATTAGTTATTTAAAATCACACCATCCAATATATAAAATAAACAATACTTCACATTGAAAATGCCCAAGGACATCCACTTTTCACGCAATCCAAGCACTTTAAGTTTACTAATATCTGAGTGTCTAAATCTTTTCCCAATCTTACCTGTAAGGCTGTAACATCGTATATATTATCTAATTAACAAAGTGAAGTATCTTAGCTTCCAACCTCTGAAACTGCAGCCTGATCCTTTTTGAAAATCATGTCTTTTGCTTGCCAATTGACACAGCATTGCACTGACGTCTACCTAATATCACTGCTTATCTCTGATAAGTGGACTCAACGTTAGGGTGATAATTTCTTTGAGAAAACCGCTTTAACAACATTTTCGTGTTTTAGTATTGGATTGCTTGATTATTTTAGTTCTTACTAGTCCATATTCTTGTCAACATTAGGATGATAATTTCTTTGAGATAATAACTATAGCAATATTTTGGTGTTTTATTATTGGATTGCATGATTATTTTAATCCTGTTTTAATCCTTATTCTAATCATTGAATGCATTAAGATCTCTGATCTTTTTCTTGCCAAATGAAACTGTTATCTCAAAATTCCCCTTTAGATACAGGGTAATCATCTAATCTCTGAATCTTCTTGGTGATTAGATTCAATTTGGAGTCACTTTCTTTCATCCACAAGATGGATTTTTTCTATTTGTCCTTGTTCATTTTTACAATTGTTACTGCATGCTGTATATTCTTGTTAAGATAAACTTTAGAGTATCCTGGTAGTTTAGTACCGCTTATTTAAATTTTTCTTTAGTCACCACATATGATTCTACTTTCATTAAGAGACATCGTAAATAAACTTTGTTGATTCTTAGGTGCAACTCAGATGTATATTTACAGTCATCCAGAAATTTCCAAAATTTTCCAGTTAGCCCCTGTACACTTGAAATTTATGCTGTATTAACGCAGAATGTCAGGAATTCTGGATTGACTTGCCAATATAAAATGTTCAACCCATACTGTTGTCATTGACTTGAATAAGGGGTAGCTCTGCAGTTTCAGTACAAGCATATTCTTCATGGTGGTCTCTCATGGTCTTACCCTTGACACATGCACTGAGAGCTAACGCTGAGATGCAGGTGTTGCCCTAAGGGTTAACAAGTTGTTCTAATTTTTGGGTTTGCAGTTGAAGATGCACTGGCACATCCCTACTTGACATCTTTGCACGACATCAGTGATGAACCTGTGTGCATGACTCCCTTTAGCTTCGACTTTGAGCAACATGCTCTGACCGAGGAACAGATGAAGGAGTTGATATATCGAGAGGCACTTGCATTTAACCCCGAGTATCAGCATCACTGAAAGTAATGTTGCCATTGGGTTTGGACATTGGATACTGTGATGTTTGTGTCCATAGATTCCGTGATTTATTTGTGTGTGTGTGTATATATGTTTTTCAATCATCTGATGCCCGATGGCCTTGGAGTTGAATTATTTCGATCACAGGCGGATTTGGGAGACAGATTGGAACTGTCATAAGGCGTTCTATCTGCTTATTTGCTTCATATTGTTGTCCAATTCACATTGGTTTGAGCCTTCTTATTTTGCTTCTTCACTTCTAACTTGTGTGTACTCATTGCCCCGAAAATTTTCTTTTAAGCATAACCGTGCTAAACTTGAATCATTGATGACTTGTACTAAGTTTTTTTTTTTTTCCTTCTGTTGCGTTTTACTCAGCTGGCTATCTGTGTTATTGATGTTTCCATGCAAAAGTTTATTTAATCGCCAGATTCGCCACATCACCGAGGTTTTCACTTCGATTAACTGTTTTATCCTCCCAAGGCCAGTGGGAGCTAATATTTATCAGAAATGCGGGCTTATCCAATTCTAGAACATTAACTCTCAAGGCCCCACCTGGTACAATGAATAGTGACACTTGCAATCCACAAACAGGGTTTGAAGTTCGAATTAAAAATAATAACCCAGGCAACGAAAAAAACCTGGAGATAGCTTGGAGCCGTGCAATTTAAACAGTCTTCAAAATGACCAAGGGCCTATCTAGTTGCAAGAGGCTGCCTTTGGATGTCTGCAGTAGAAAGGGAGAGGGAATAGGAATGTCAAATTGGTCTGGGATGGCACGCATCAATGCGCTCTTAAAAAAAAAAAAAAGAAATAGAAAATGCCCATCATTGTTCTTTTTTTAGAATTTTCTTTCCATCTTTTTTTGTTGAAAGGGAATTTCATTAGCTCAACTATGCAAAACAAGGTCCCAAAAAACTGTACAGACTCCATCAAAGTATGTTAACCCTATTATCATTGTTCACTCCCTCCATCTATCTATTCAACTATTTACAATGCTACCGGGGATCTCTCGCTGATGCAGATATATTATTCCTTTGTTTGGGCTGCCTTTGTGAGGGATTAAGTTCCGATGTCTTTTTCTTGGGAAAAAAAAAAATTAGGGATATCAATTATCATGGTCGGTTAATATATTAAACAATAGGGTTAAAGTATATTTTTTTTCTCTTGTACTTTCCTTCAATGAATGTTGGGCATTTTATATTAATAAGTGGGATTTTTTTTCTTCTAAACCATTAATAGATTTTTGCTCTTTTGAAAAATGATTTAAGGGAAAAATGATTCATTTACTTGTACATGATATCCAACACTCCTTTAAAAAAAAAAAGTAATTTTAGAATGTCCAATGCTTCTAAATTAAATTTTGGGACAAACTAACACCTAATGATATTTTAATAGAAAAACAATAAAATTAATATATCACTAATGGAGGAGGATTTTTGCTCCTTTAAAAAATAGTTTAGAGAAAGAATGTCACACTTATTAGTATAAAGTGTTTAGCACTCATCGAAAGAAAGTACAAAAGTAAAATGTACTTTAACCTTTAAATGAAAATGATATCCATTATTCATTATTATATATATAATCGTCCATTTTATCATACAACAAAACTTATTTCTCTAAATAAGGTTGGCTACCCGTTGATATTATCATGTTTTATTAACAATCACATCAATCTTGGATTTTGAGCCTCTCATCATCATTTATCTCCTTTTCTTTTCTTCATCTCATCCTTACCTTTGGATTAAAAATTCAAGTGTTGAGATTTAATAAAATTCATTAATTTATTTTAATTATAGTCCATGGTTTTTTATAGTTTTGAAATGCACAAATCATATTTTAGCAGTTTAGATCTATTTGTTTATTTGTTTTTTTTTATTATAATAGTTTTATCAAACATTAAATCTTAATCATTCAGTTTGCAAATCAAGGGTGAGGATGGGATGAGGAGAAGGAAAGGAGGGAAATGAAAATGAAATGATTTAGACCCTCAAGTCTCCGGGGATATTGTGAAATTGCATGGGACCACTCTATGGCCTAGCCTCCTTCAAATTGTGTGCGACATTTTAAAATGCATGAGACTTGCTATAAATTAGTCTTTTGAAGCCTATGTGAGTATTTCTCATTCTCCTCTTAATAATTTATAAAATTATTAATTATTCTTAATATTCTAAATTATAAGATACCTTTAAGGGGGATTTGACATTTTAAAATATAAAATACTTTAAAAATATTAAGGTTTCATCAAATATGTTTATTTTAATATTACCTCTTTTCTCTATATTTAATTTACATCCATCACCTTTTTAATATATTAAATTAAAGATATTTTTGGAATTTTAAATTTAAAAAAACTAAAATTATTAAGTATATTTAATAAGATGTATTGGTATATGAAATTTTATCTAAAAGCATATTATAATTTAATATTAAAGAAGATTAATTATTAAAATAAAAATATCCTTAGAACTTTTTTTTCAAAAGTGCTTAATACTCCATATTTTATTTTAACAATTTTGTCTTGAAACTAGAGAGAGAGAGAGAGAGAGAATTTTGCATTGAGTTTAATGTCATCTTCTGCTGACTGTTACACTTTATATGTCACTTGGCATTTAAAAAAAAATCCATACCTCTTCTCTGTGTCAGCCCTGTTCCCATCATCTCTTTCCAACACCCCTCATCACAACTATCACTTAGTCCCTCTCTTCCTATCTCTATCTCACTCCTTCTCTTTGCCTCTGTGGCTTTATTGCTTTTTGCTTTTGCTTTTATTCAACTTTAGTCAAATCAAATAATGGCTAAAGAAACCACCTTTTTATGGTATTCCACTTTATTTTAACATTTTAATTGAACATTGCACTGCTTGTTGAAATGGCTGACTGAGGGAATTGTACGTGAGTGTTTGGATAACATTTTAACATAGGTTGAAATGGTCCAAAGCTAGGTTAGGATGTTAAAGGCTTAATTAATCATATTTGGATAAGAAATAAAATTCAACCACATTTAATGTCTAAACAAGCATTTTAAACAAAGTTGGATAACCAAGCTTTTCCATTAGTGGTTTCAGGTAAATGAATGTTGGGTGCATTTAATGCTTTTTAAAATTCTATCTCTCTTCATTTTCTTCTATCTACTCGAGCTAATGAGTCATAAGCCCTTCATTGCCATTGTCCCCATGTATGGTTGCTCATCCGTTACTCACCCTTTACTCTCTTAAGTTCACCAAATCTAACAAGAGATCACAATCACTACCATCGAGTGTAATTTCTGATAGCAAGTTGTAAAATCTTTTTACTTAATCACAATTAACTACAAAATCCAAGGTAATCCTTAGATTAAACCAATTATGATTGCCAAGTTTGTAAATTTATAAAAATAGGATCTCAATTTTTCATAGGTTGTATTACTTAAATATCATTTAACAAACCTTTATTAAAATAAAATAATGATTTAAAAGCATGAGATACCTTATGGGAATGAAAAGACTCAAAATCAATTGAAAAATATCAAAGAATGAAAAACAAGGCAATGTGCTGCAGCATGTGCACATACACCATAGCTATCTCTCTCTGTGCCATGCACCGTGACGTGTTGCACGTATCAGACAGCAATTTTGTTTTCATTTGATAGAAACCTAAGGCAAATTCTAACATGCCTCATTTCTCCATTCGACATCTGAATGAGGTGATTCAGGTGTTTGCGAAAAGCTATTTTTATAAACTAGCTAAGGGAATGAGTTTTACCTTCAAATTATGTCACACAAAAAACATGGATAACCAAACACATTTTCACAACTTTTTACAACTCAATGGTGCCCAAAACCCTTCAGATGTGTCAAAGGCAATTTCTATCACCTAGAACACACTCAAAAGACTTAGGCTTACTTGTATAACACACCACATGCACATAAACTCAATAATATCACATTTTTACTCCTCCAACACTAAAAATAGAAGGAGGAGGTTTTAGCATCGCATTTTTCAATCAATATTCATAATTGTGATCAAATCAACATTCTTATTGTAATATTTTAAATTTTAATCCAAGAAAACTAATTACTAATTAGGGGTAAATTAGTAATTAGTGGATTGATTATGGTTTTGGATTGGGGGTTAATGTATGATGCTGATTGATTAATATGGCTACAAGATTGGATGGTAAAACTAAAATTTGGGACTTAACTTACGAGCACTAGTGAGATTTGAATCATGATACCATGCGCCATAGTGCATGACATAAATTTTAATAAAGATGACATTCTTAACTCATGAAATCGAAAGAGAAATGAAGAAAAATGTGTGGGAGAGAAGAGAAAGAAGGTTGCTCTACTAGGGCATCATTTATCAGGAGTTTAAGAGCTTGCTTCAGCCATTGACTTATCAGGTAAGTTTTGTACCACCTTGTATTACACTTCTACCTCAATTTCTTTGAGTGTGGTTAGTAGAGAAATTGAATCAAGAAGCTTTAAGGAGTTAAAATTTAAGGAAAATATTTTAAAAAGGGTCTCAAATGAAAAACTAAGGTTTTATGATTGGTCAGAAGTTTAATGGTTAAACTTTAAGGATAAAGGCTTAAATTAACCTAAGTTATTAGGTTGAAAATAGGAAAATTGATAAACAAATGAGGAAGCAAAATGTCTTGGTCATTTAGATAGCCTAAGGGGCAAATGACTATAAAGAATGGATTATCTGAATTCAAAAAGTGTTAGTTGAACTGTTTCATGTGTTAAAGGATTTGGCTTAGCCAAGTTAGTACCCTATGTTGAGTGCTAGAAATTGATTAAGGGTTGTTCTTTATGTAAATTTAGCATTTAAGAAGTTGTTCGTGAGAATCTGCACTCTTAAGAGTTAAATGTAAGAACGGTAACTCTTGGTAGTAAGGATAAAAGATAACTGAAATAACCATTTTATCTATTAGTTTATAAAATGATTTACAAGTATTTTATATGAATTATATACATTGTGTTTTATGAACTGATAGAGTAGCAGTATTGTGAAAAAATATGCATGCATTTGTGTGAGTGATGTTTGAAATATATAAGAAGAGGCATAAGCATTTACATCTGTGAGTGTACTTTAAACTAGGGTAGGGGGTTATACCCCTACTCTGTGTAAGATGAGGAAGTCCTGAAGGACTTAAGTATAGAGCTTGCTCCATCAGGAAGTACCTAGGAGAATTATCCACGAGTGTATCCTAGACTAAGGTAAGGGATTGTGGCCTTACTCTATGCAAGGATAGGAAGTCTTAACAATCCAAGCATTGA